AAAGGAGTGTTTATGGAGCACCTGCCATTTGCTAGCATTCTGCTCAGCTCCATGCCTTACTATCTGTTAGCGTCGCTCTCTGCAGACAAGTAGGAGAAGAAACTAGACCAGATAACGTGCCCAGAGCACCACAGTGGTGGGGCAAGGCTTCCAGTCTGCTCTTTCTGATTTGAAGCACAGTCCTTTGCCACGTCACTTCCTCCTTGTCAAACAAAGCAAGACTCTGCTCTAGCTTCAGGGTTTCATTTTGTTTTTTGAGACAGAGTCTCGCTCTGTCGCCCAGGCTGGAGTGCAGTGGCGCGATCTCGGCTCACTGCAGCCTTCGCCTCCCAGGTTCAAGCAATTCTTCTGCCTTAGCCTTCTGAGTAGCTGGGATTACAGTTATCCACCACCACACCCAGCCAATTTTTTTGTCTTTTTACTAGAGACGGGTTTTCATCATGTTTGCCAGACTGGTCTCGAACTCCTAAGCTCAGGCGATTTCCCCCGCCTCAGGCTCCCAAAGTGGTGGGATTACATTTGTGAGCCACTGTGCCCAGCCTCTGGCTTCAGTGTTACCCTTGCGTTGCTTCCTGTACCCCATGAGCCTGAGCATGAATAAGGAGCCAAGTTTCTAAAGAGTCCCCAAACTCAACAGGTACAGAGATGCTGCCCTGAGCTCTGTTTGTAGGTGTCACATAAGCAGAGATGGTCCACAGTTTTCTTACAAACCGTGAAAGCCCAAACAAGAGCTTTCAGCCTTCATGGATCTTCATTTCCCCAGCCTAATCCAGGACCAGGTCAAGCCAAATCTAACACAGAGAGAAACATTCCCACTTGGCTTCTTCTGATGTAGATGATATGATCTACAATCAGATTTCCCGGTTGTCTTATCCGTTCTGTTCAGTCACATGCTGTGGTGTATGTGAATTTAAAAATCTCTTTATTATAAAATATAAAGGCTGTAGAAGTTATCCAACTGCTCCTAAAGAATTACAGGTTGAGCGGGCTGGGCATGGTGACTCACACCTGTAATCCCAGCACTTCGGGAAGCCGAGGTGAGCGAATCACCTGAGGTTAGGAGTTCGAGATCAGCCAGCCAACATGGCAAAATTCCGTCTTTACTAAAAATAAAAAATTAGCTGGATGTGATGGCATGTACCTGTAATCCCAGGTACTCAGGAGACTGAAGCAGGAGAATTGCTTGAACCTGGGAGTCGGAGGTTGCAGTGAACTGAGATTGTACCACTGCACTCCAACCTGGACGACAGAACAAGAGTCTACCTAAAAAAATAATAATAATAAAAATTATAGATTGAGCATCCTTAATGTGAAAATCCAAAATCTGAAACTATTTGAGCACCAACATATACTACCATTAAAAATTTCACACATAAGTAATTTAACTTTGTTTAATGCATAAAAATGTTTAAAATATTGTATAAAATTACCTTTGGCCTCCATGTATAAGGTATACAGGAAACATAAATGGATTTTATGTTAAATTTGAGTCTCATCTCTAAGATAGCTTATTTTATATATATATATATATATATATATATATATATGTAAATATTCCAAAATCTGAAAAAAATCAAACACTTCTCTTCCTAAGCATTTCAGATAAGGGATATTCAACCTATATAAACAAAGTTGCTTGCCTCAGCCAGTCAAAAGACACTTTACCTTTTCCAGATGCCCATGCCCCCGTTAAGCTCTGATCATCAGTAACTCCATGGACCACTGTGTGCTTTCATTCTTCCTGTCTGATGACAACCATCCTGATGGGATGCACAGAATGTCAAAGGCCAACCAGCAGGTTTCCTGTCACCTAAGAAAGCAACGGCCACCAGTGATCGCTATGTCCCCATTCAGGGTCCACCAGGTCTGTGCAGCCATGCTGTCAGCCATAGTAGCGGCATTCAGACTCAACTTATCTTACCACCCATGGCTTCACAGGGGCCTGGATTATGCCCGAAATCACCATGAATGTAAGGAGTCATTTGAGGGTCTTCCTGTCCAATTGTCTGTCTTTGGTGTTGCCCAGGGCTGTGTGGGTCCTAAGACGCTCTGTTTACCCACTTATCCACGGTGCAGCATTTTCAGAAGATTAAGCTGCATCCTAATATCCCTCAATAATTCCGTGTGTTTCTTTCATCTCTGAATTATGAGACTTTCCGGGAATTCTGTTTTCAGCTGGTAAGAATCCACGTTTCAGGTTTCCTGCCAACTGTTTGGTGAAGCATTTTGCTTGTTCACCACCAAAACTGACTCAGGCTGGAGTACTTCAGTCCCCTCATGATAGGAACACATGAGTGGAGGGCAGCAGTGGGTTTGCCTGCCTTGTTGGAATCACAGTCCTAGATTTAAGGAGACTCTAAGAGAAGCTAGCATCAAGTAACCTGGCAGCAACCTGCAGTTGCCTGTCTCAGCATTTCTTCCTTCAAGGAGGTAGAAAGAAGCAATAACCCAAAGAAATCATCAGTAACATCTCCCTTTTTCTGATGAGGAAACTAAGGCTTCAGACTGTTAGATATTTTGCCTAAAGGTTGACACAGCTAGTAAAAGCAAGAGACAGGATGTGCTCTCAGGGCCAGCTGCCCACAGTGCCTGGGGTAGGTTTGCCTTTGTTCTTTCTTGTTGTCTTTTGGCTTATTAAAAGTGATACAAGGCCAGGCACGGTGACTCGTGCCTGTAATGTCAGTACTTTGGTGAGGCCAAGGTGGGCGAATCACCTGAGGTCAGGAGTTCAAGACCAGCCTGGCCAACATTGTGAAACCCTGTCTCTACTAAAAATAGAAAAATTAGCCAGGTATGGTGGTGGACACCTGTAGTTTCAGCTACTCTGATGGCTGAGGCAGGAGAATCACTTGAACCCAGGAGGCGGAAGTTGCAGTGAGCCGAGATCGTGCCACTTTACTCTAGCCTGCTGGGTGACAGAACAAGACTTCGTCTCAAAAAAAAAAAAAAAAACAAGCACAAGGTTTAAAAAAGAGAGAAATGGCAACAGTATGCCTCCTGGATGCAGCTCTGACCGACCTCTGTTCCGGTGCTACACCCACCTCTATGCCAAGGGACCCTCCTGGCAGCGTGAGGCCCTCATATTCCTGTGGTGGCATTCCACATGACAGACAAGGGAGGGGCAGAAACATTTCCTCAGGCTGCACTAGTGCTAGGAGCCCGGAGCCCTGAAATTACTGATCAACTCCTCCTCCACACAGATCTGGAAAGGAAACGTGAGGAAAAGTAGGATCCTCCAGCAGGACACACATTGCAAAGTACATTTCCTTAGCACCCCTGATGTTGGTACTCCATGTTGCTTCTCAGGGGCCGCCCTCCAGCCCTCTCCTCATCCCCGAGGCCTCCTTGCACTTGCTGGTTTCTTCCACTCCCTCTAGATCCCAGGGAAGACTGGCTCTGCCCCACTGGGAGCACCTAATACACATTCTTAGTAGTGGTACCATGTTCCTCCTCACCCTATCACATGCTACTTAGACTGTTTCTCCAGTTGTTGAATAAATGAAATGTTATACAGATGATTCTCGAATAACGTCATTTTGCTCTAATGTTGAGAATGAAGAAAGTTGACTCCTGGCTGGACCCCCTGTCTGTTTGGAGTCAACCCATTCTCCGTCATCTTCATGCGTTTTCTCCAGGGACTCTGGTTTTCTCCCGCATCCCAACGCTGGGCACCTGAGGTGAACTGACATGTTTACATGGTCCCAGCATGAATGAGTGGGGATGTGGGTTAAGTGCACCCTGTGATGGAACCATGTCCTGTGCAGGGCTGCTTTCTGCCTGGCACCCTGAGCTGCTGGAATGGGCTCCAGCTACCCTTAACCCTAAGCTGGAATAAGAGGGTTCGAAAACAAATGTATTAATACAAATTATTGTACAATAAAACTTCATAAAGTCTATGATAATCATACACATGCACCCAGTCAGAGAGAAGGGAACAGACCAGCTGGTGGAGGCAGGCCTGATTGTGGTGCCATGTTAGTGATTGATTGATAGTGAATTATGAGGTGGGAGAAGGCATTCCTTGTGATTTTCGCTTCACAAATGTGTATTTCTTGATTGAACCCAACACCACTACAACTGTCATCACTCACTGATTCACCAAAAATTGAGTAAATAATTTATCTTACTTGTATTTATTAATCTTTCTTAAATGTATGTATAGCTCACATTTGTTTCAGTATTTAATATTAGAAGTGTTTTGGGTCTTTATTTAGAAGTTTGGTGATGTTTTTGACAAGAAATGTGCTATGGAAACTTAACTCTTGTTAATATCAGTTAGCCTGTTGTAAAATTGGTTTCTTTATATTGTCCTTTCACTTAACATGGCGGTTTCGGAGACTATGATGACGTTAAGTGAGGACTTACTGTATTGTTTTCAGCCAGCCAGCACTAAGTCCCTACCAAGGACACAGCACCATATGAGGTGCTATCAGAAGTGTCTGCAGTCTCCTTGGCGTGATCTTCACTTCACAGCATCAGAACCTTGCCATGGAGATAAAAGTGTAGTGCTCGTGAAACAGTGTCGCATTAGGTAACTGCCAAGGTAGGGCAGACACAGTGCCTTTGGAATCAGAGAGAAGGGAACAGACTAGCTGGTGGAGGGAGGCCTGAAGATGGGCCTTGAAGCGCAGAGGCTCTGAATAGCCTGGCTACATAAGTGTTGATGACGATGATTGAGAATAGCCACCCTTCATGGGCCGGGGTGGTGCGGTGTTCGTTGCAGGTATGACCTCTCCTCCTGGAGCCCTCTGTGGAAGGCACAGCTGTTGGTTCCCATCTTGGGGTTGAGTAAGCTGGGGGTTAGGGAGGTCAAGACCTGACCTGAAGGCCTATTCCAGCTGAGCCCCAGTCCAGCCCATCTGCGTGGCTCCCAGCTCTTCCCCATCCCATCCCTGTTCTCTCCCAGCGTGCCGCCTCCCATTGCCGGGGTTGGTTGGCAGGGCTGGGGATCCCCAGCTGTATCCTTGGACCTGTGGCTGATGGCTTCATTGTCATTCTAGGACTTCTGCCATGGGCAAGTGATGTGGCCGCCCCTCAGTGCCCTGCAGGTCAAGCTTGCTGAGCCCGGACAGTCCTGCAAGCAGGTGTGCCAGGAGAGCCAGCTCATCTGTGAGCCTTCTTTCTTCCAGCACCTCAACAAGGACAAGGACATGCTGAAGTAAGTGCCCGGAGGCGGGCATGGGGACTCAGCCCCTAGATTCCAGCTGCTGGCCCTGTGGGGTAGTCAGGTGTGAGGTACAGATTTCCACTTCCAAGCTACTGGGCTGTGGGGATACGGTGTAGGAGGGGAGTAGGTTGCAGCATGATCCCCCGAGAGAGTTAGCCCAGTGTTGCTATGTTCCTGTTGGGTGAGATGAAGTCACCTGGCATGATGATGTATTTAAAATTTGAATGGGGGTGTTGTATTTGCATAAATAATGCTGTGTCTGAGTTGGGAGATTGTGGGAGGTGTTCTGTTTGCTAATGTTGACCCCCAAGAACAGTGGTGGAGGTAGGCACAGAGACAGAGGCATAGATGGACCAGCTCCTCAGACCCCTGGAGGCAGCCAGGCCCCCAGCAGCGTCTGAGCAGTGCAAGGGGCTGGTAGTGAGTGACACTGTTCAACCCTGGAGTCAGAACGGAAACATGGAGAAGGAGCTGGCACAAAACTGCCCACAACAAATTCCAAGAGCAGCCTTCTCTTGCGGCCCTCTTCTCTTTTGCACTTTTTTTTTTTTTTTTTTTTTTTTTTGAGATGGAGTCTCGCTTTTGCCAGGCTGGAGTCCAGTGGCACGATCTCGGCTCACTGCAACCTCTACCTCTGGGTTTAAGTGATTCTCCTGCCTCAGCCTCCCGAGTAGCTGGGACTACAGGCATGCACCACCATGCCCAGCTAATTTTTGTATATTTTTTAGTAGAGACGGGGTTTCACCCTGTTGGCCAGGATGGTCTCGATCTCTTGACCTCGTGATCCACCCACCTCAGCCTCCCAAAGTGCTGTGATTACAGGCGTGAGGCACTGCGCCCAGCCCCCTTTTGTACTTTCTTCTGGGTCACTGACACAGGGTGCATCTCAGGCCCCAGCAGATCTAAGTCTGCTGGGTCCCTTGGTAGTGAGGTAAGTACGGCACTGGGGATGCTGGCACTGGGAATGCAGCCCAGGGCCACACACAGGAGGCGCCTTCCTTGAATTTCTTACCTTCTGCTTGCATTAGTTAGGTGATGCCTTTCCTTACCCTTTGCATTGGCATTTTGAGTTGGGCATTTGCAGTTCCCAAATTTCCATGTGAGGTTTCTTCTGGCCTCTCACCCATGTCCCTTGTCAGGCCTGAATGTGTTCTCTCAATTTTTATCACACCCCACCATGGTCCACATATTGCATAATTATCTAGCTCCCCACCCACCCACTACCTTCGTAGCTCTGATTGGGTGTTTTCTCCAAGAGACTAGCCTACAAATCTTAAGACCCTGCTGTCCCAACTCCAGATATTCAATCTAGCAGGTGTACTATCCCAGGCTTGAAGAGGATGTTTAGGAAGTGGAGTGGACCTGGGGCTCAGGGCTCACCTGTCCCCCGTTCTGGCTTCACACTCTGTTAGTGCTGCTGGCCACTGTGGTTATCTGTGCACAATGGTCTGAGCTGGCCTGCTTCCTGTGAATCTTCTTATCCTTAAGTGTGGGTATAAAACCCTTTGTAGGGAGAGTGTGTGCCTCTGGTGTCCTGCCTGTAGGGAAGCTCTCCTGAGTAGGGGTGTAAGCTATGCTTTTTGTTCATTCGTTTGTTTGTTTTTGAAACAAGGTCTCCTTCACCCAGGCTAGAGTGCAATGGCTCACTGCAATCTCCACTTCCCAGGTTCAGGCAATTCTCACACCTCAGCCTCCCAAATATCTGGAACTATAAGTCCATGCCACCACACCCAGCTAATTTTTGTATTTTTAGTAGAGACCTGTTGGCCAGGCAGGTCTCAAACTCCTGGCCTCATGTGATCTTCCCCCTTGGCATCCCAAAGGGTTGGGATTACAGGCGTGACCCACCATGCCTGGCCCTGGTGATACTATTTTTTTCTGTTTTTTTATGAGAAGACCTAGGCACAGAAGCTGCCCTGATTCCACCACTGAGAACAAAAGCATAGGCCAAAAGTGGGGTCTCAGGGAAGGACCCTGCTCTGCCTCCAGATGTCTGGAAAGCCTGTGGTGTACCAGAAGCTTCCAATTCCACAGGGCAAATCCTGAATTCTAGGGTTCTGTCAGGGGCTTTCCACTCACTCCTTTTGCAAATAGCTCTTGGAGCAAGGTGGCTTCTTGAGAACCCTGGGACTCTTTACATTGGAAGTCAGAATTCACTAGTTACAGACCTAGGGACTGTATATTACAGACTGTCTGCATAAGCCTACTTCTGGAAGAAGAGACATGAGAAGTGGCATCCTGGGAATGGGACCAAATGGGACTCCTGAACAGCATGGCTCCCTTCCTGGCCAGGCAGGAGTCAGGGCTCTTGGCCCAGGGACTGTGCTCAGGGTCTGGCTCAGAGCTAGCACAGGGCCCTACGAAGGCAGGCCACCTCCAGGCCAGGAGTCCAGGACAGGGAAGACAGGAAGGAGAAAGAGCAAATGGCAGATGGCCACTTCCCTCTGTTCAGCCGGTTTTCTCATCTGTAAGATGGGGATATCCTAGGTGATGGGTAAGATAATGAACAGCCCTTTCTTCCAAAGATCTTTGGGTGGTGGAGTAGGCCCGAGGCCACTGCGCCATGTTGCGATAAGCCAGCCCCAGCCCTGGCCTTTCCCCATCTCCTTATCCATGCAGAGTCCACAAGAGCAGAGGGACCTGGCATGGGGCTGTCCTGAGGCCAGGCCCTATGCCATGGGATTGCTTGACTGCACCCCCACCCCCTACCCTGCTGTAGAGATGCGGACTTGCTTAGCAGGAGGCTGGAATGAATGCTAATTTTGTAATAAAGCCGTCTGAAATTAATTCTCTGAACATAAGAACCCTGCTGAATAACTTGTTCATGCATTTGTAAATACTGATAATGTTGTAAAACCCCAGCTATCTGGCATTCTATTGAGTGCCTCCTCAGTATGGAGGTGATCCTGGTGGCCCATCCATATTCATGGCCGATTAGCAATTAGCAGTTCCTGCAAGCCATTGCTGCCTTTTCGTCTCCAACTTGGAGCCTGGTTTGAGCTAAGTAAGTTCTTTTCAGTCTTTGGGTCTCCATGGTGTTTAAGAACCACCTGTCCTCACTCTGTAGTATGACTTTAGTATATCACGTCGGGGGAACCCTTGGGAGCATCCTGTGTTGTCTTGCATGAGGGTGATTCAGAAAAGCAGCCTTGAGTTCTTGTGCATGCAGGGCCCAAGGGTGCAGGTAAGCACTGGAGAGGTCACCCAAGGGTGCGCATGATTCCTGTGTGCCCCGTCCTCTGGACAAGTCTCCTCCCGGCCTGGGGTGGGGACTGGAAGATGAGGGGCTCCAGGAAGTTCCAGGGTCCATTCCAGCGGGGCCCAGTGGAGAGGACCTCAGTTCCATGCATAGGGGCACGTGTTCCTGCCCAGCTTGTAATTCTGCTACCTCTTAAAGCTGTTTCTTCTAAAATTTTAAATTATTGGCAACTCAGGTTGCTCTCTGAGAAGAATTCTAAGCAGTGCAGTCTAGACTCTGAGTGCTTTGGTACCTGAGAGAGAGAAGGTAGGTGTGAGGGGGTTCGGGTGGGACCTGGCAAGGCAGAGTTGGAATGAACAGAGCCTCTCGAGAGGGGGCTGAGAGAGGGAAGTCACTCTAGGGCAGGAGCAGCGGACGATACAGCTGCATTCATTCCCTTCCTGTCGAGCGTGTCCTGTCCTGTGCATTTTGGGTCTGTGTCAGGAAGGGACTGGTGACTTCTCAGCCTAGTGCCTGTGACTGCAGGTGAGGAAGTGTGGCCAGCCCCATAGGAGGGGGCTTTGCCTCTTTTTATTCTTCAAGAGCTATAAATTGTAAACTTAGATCTGCTGGGCCCAGAAACCCCATCCTGTAAGAAAGTAGGAAGAAAGTAAAGGAAGACAGTACACTGCAGTGAGATCTCTGAGCAAGGAGGACATGAGTGTTTGTGAGACAGACGTTGCAGGGACAGAGAGGCAGACACAGCACCGTGCACCTACTGGAAAGGCAGGCGACCATCTAGGGATTGAGGATCCTGGGATGCAGAGGCTGTCTGGTCTCACTGTGCTCTAACGATTGGGGAAAGATGCTTTACCTCACTCATGACCTTTGCTTGCTAGTTAAGCAAGGAAAATGGAGTCACCTTCCTGACTGCTCAGGGCTGTGGGATGGGCACATGCATGCCAATAAAAGGGAGCGCTCCCTGGGGTCCTGGAAGACACTGGGGCCAGGGTGTGGGTTAGAGCCCTGCGTTCCACAGCACTGCATCCATCAGTTGGACCCTCGAGGAGCTGCCTGGTGTCAGGTCTCACCTGTGGCTCCATGAAGCGTCGCTGCTTGAGCACTGCCATGATCTCTGTGTGTCACCCCAGGCAGGCTTCTGCTGCTGCAGCCTTGGCTAAATCCTGCTCACAGACACGCGCCCATGTGTGCTTCCACCCTGGGAGATGGTGGCCTGAAGCCTGAGTCCTGGTGACTCGGGGAGCGGGCAGGAAGGTTTTTCCTGGCCCCTGACAATTACACTCCTCGCCATGGGGTCTGAGAGTCGCTGTAGAGATTTCTACACTGTGGTTAGCAGTGTGCCAGGCAGATGGTTTAAGTTAACGTACAGCAGCTGCTGTAATTCACCTAAAAAGTAAGTCATCTCCAGGCCATGTTCCATATGTAAACTTGTCATTCAGAATTGAGTTCTAGATCGTTCCTCCTTTTTGTTGCCCAACTGAGGTATTCTGTGAAGGACCTAGTAGCTGCAAGTCTCTGACTCATTTTTCCTTTTAGGAAATCCATAAAAATCGACTTCCTGTGCTTTCCTCTTATGATTCATGACCTTAACCCCTGGGCGTCACCATCTCCTAGCTGGCATCAAGAGCAGGAGTGGAGGGGTCTTTAAGGAAGTTGCAGTGCTCTCCTGGTGACAGTGGGAGCAAGAGAAGAGAGGCCTGCTCTCCCGACAAGGCCTGGACTCCTGGTGCCGTTAGCATGTGCAGGAGGCACTGCAGACTCTGGGGGAGGGAGGCCCGAGCACCAGTGACATGCCGAGTTCCGGAAGCAGTTGTGGCTTCAGCTGCAACTGAGCAGGAGCCAGGCTGACAGCCTGGGAGATCTTCACCAGAAGCCCCAGCAGATGTGCTGGGAATCGCAGGATTAATGTTGGCAAGGGGAGGAGAGCCCCAGGCAGTTGGTTAGCTAGAGGAAGACAGGGCAGGAGTAAGACAGAAAAGGATGCTTTACACACATATACACATACGCATACGCATGCACGTACACAAATGCACACATGTACATAAACATGCTCTACACACATGCTCATGTGCACGCACGTGTACACACATGAACATACACAACATACAAGCCCATTCGGAAGCTTCCCAGAGGCAATGAGAAACCTCAAGCTCCTCATCCTGATCCCTTCTTCCCTGTCATCAGAAAGTGAGATTCCATGAACACAGTGAAACAGAAATGGTTGGTGTGTATAAATTAATACCACCGGACAGGCAAGGGAGGTGGCATAGCCCATCCAGTGTCTGTCAAGGCAGGGTGATGACAACCACGACCATGATCCTGACAGTAATGATAGTTGCCATTTATCAACTTACTCAGAGCTTCACTCTGCCACATGCTCTGGAAGCACTAACTTAATTCCCACAGGTAAGGATTATTTATCCCCATTCTACAGAAGGGAATCTGAGCCACAGAGTGGCTCACTCATTTGTCCAGGGCCACACAGCTCCTAAAAGATGAAGCCAAGACTCAAACCCAGGTCTGCCCGGCCCCCTGATACGTCCTTCTCTGATTTTGGGTGCAGCATGTGTTCCCACCTAGCATTCATGAAGGACACCAGGTGAGGCTGCCTCCTCCTTTGGGAACCAAGGTGGATGGGAGCAGTCATCCCAAGTGAGAGGGAAAGATATGTGGCTCTTCTTTGAGATAAGAGGCCAAAACTGTTGGGAATGGAAACATCGGAATATCCTTGTGCCCCTGCAAGCAGTGGTCTCAGCCAAGGGAAGCAAAGACACCAGGCTCCACAGCCTGACACTACTCAGCTGTTGGGAGAAGATGGCAGAGGCGCAGGAGTGCAGGGCTCGGGAGAGAGGGCCTGGATTCAGGCCTTCTCTGCACATCCTGAAGCCTCAGTTCACCTGCTTCTAACTGAGGTTACCATTGCTGTGGCTGAAGGGCAGCTGCAAAGACCCCGGGAGCCAATGCCCATGGGACAGCACCTTCTGTCTGATTGCTTTCCAGCAAGAGGCTAAGGCTATGTAACAGGAATTTAAGCCTTTAATTTAAAAAGTTTAACACACTTTAAAACAATTTAAATAATGCTTAGCTTTGCCCCATTCTCACTTCTTGGAAGCAACCATTGCTAAGGCATTAGCATGCAGCTGTCTCGGCTGGCAGCCCTCACATCCCGTGTGCACACGGCGGGCTGATGGCTCTGTGCTTCCCATTCTGGGACTCGCCTTTCCTCAGGATGACTCTCCTGTTCATCTCTTTCCCCCCATTCTTTTTCAGTGACTGCAAAGAAGTCTAAAAGCACAGAAGGGCCATGATTGATTTGGCCACTCCCAGCTTGGTGACTGTTTGGGTTGTTTCCAGGTCTTCTCCATTGCAGACAAAGCTTCACCGAGTAGCCTCAAACACACCCCTGCATGCACAGCCTGGCACACACATGCCTTCCTGAGTCTAGATGCCTGGAGGTGGAGGATTGCAGAGGCAGAGGGTGGGCACCATTTCATTTCTAAAATAGGACAAGACAGCTTAACATCCCCCATGCCTCAAGACGGGGGCTAACAGGGCCAGTGATGAGGACAGGCTCTGTCCCTTGCATCACCAACCCTTGTTCCTTTCTCTTCCTCTTCAGGTATGAGGTGACCTGCCAAAGCTCGGAGCTGGCCAAGGACATCCTGGTGCCCTCCTTTGACCCCAAGAATAAGCACTGTGTGTTTCAAGGGGACCTCCTGCTCTTCAGCTGCGCAGGCGCCCACCCCAGGCACCGGAGAGTCTGCCCCTGCCGGGACTTCATCAAGGGCCAGGTGGCTCTCTGCAAAGACTGCCTATAGCGGCCACCTGCTCAGCCCCGCACCGCGCTGCCGGGGAAGACAGTGCCCCAGCCCCGTCAGACAGGGCCAGGGGCAGAAGTCATCCAGGGACTCTGGCAAGAGCCTGAACTTTTTGGTAGAAGGTTCTGATTTGGTATTGCTCCTGCTGCACTCGGAGCAGAGCCCAGTGGAGTCTTCACCAAAACAAAACGAGAGTGTCTGTCAGGCCGGGCGCCTGGCTTGCCCCTGGCACAACGTCATTCCTGTTTCTCAAGGAGCAACTGTGGGAGGACTGTGTCACTGCAGCTGCTCCAGGGTAAAAGAAAGTCTCGAGAGTCCTTTAAAACAAAACAGGAGGAATTGAGCTGATGGGAGAGAACGCTGAATGGGAACATTCCTAAGCCCATTAACTTATTTATTTGGGTGGGAGGGAGGGGACCAAGGGAGGGAGAGGAGGGATTGATCACAGGCTTCTTTTACTTCCAATGTTAATCATCCACCTTCACTGTATTGTTATTCTGTCTGCTTCAAGCAGAGTGCCGGAGGGAGGAGGCAGAGTGCACCGTGGGGCTGGTGGGGTGCTCAGGAGCAGCCCTGGAGACCTGGCTGCTCAAAACGATAGCAGCAGAGCAAAAGAAACTTTCGCTTTGGAAGCACAGCCAGAGTCCCCAGGGCATTGTCATAGATAGCAGCTAGAGCGTGGGCTGCCTCGGTCGGGGGGTGTGCCTGTGTTGTCCAGAGAGCCCAGTCAGGGATAGAAGATGAGACGAGGCCCTTTTCCTCCATGTCCCCATGCCCAGACACATTCCTTGGCCATAATTTCTTTTAGAATCCCTTTAGGAAAGAAATACGGGACTGAGGGATTTTGGAGTTTCTGGTAAACTCCCCCTCCCTCTGGCCCCACTGTGAGGAGGAAAGTAGAGATGAGGGACTCGCACGCTGCTCGTGGACTTGGAGAGGGTTGCCTTCGAGCCGAGGTTCGGACAGGAGTGAGGTCGATCCTTAAAAACTTGTGGCATGACCGGAGCTGGGCTCCTGACAGGTGGGTTTGTGTTGTGTCCCCTCTGATGGCACCAAAGTCCAGGGAAGGGGGCTCTGGCTGTCTGCTGGGGGAGCGGGGGCAGCTCGAGATGAATGCAGTGCACTGTCCTGGCTGCTTACCCGAGGGTCTGGCCCTCAAAGGTGGGAATCTGGTGCTGGCTTTTCCTTCAGGCAGGATTACTCTGACTTGTTGAGTAACCAGTCAGCAGGTAGGCCTGGTCAGACACACTGGACCTCACCTTCCAAACCCTGGACCCCGCCATGCTCTGCCTTTGTGTAAGTTCCCACCCCCTCTGAATCGTCGCTGCCATGCTCTGTACAAGCTTGTAAGTTTCTGGAAAGCGTCTGACATCACCGTGCTGGTGCAAGTGAGCCCCTTTCTGCCTGATGTGAGCACTTGGCATTATCCACCTGGCCCCTGCTGGGCGCCTCGGTTGCTCAGTGATGTGCTCCTTGCCGGGGCTTCCAAGCACCCTGTCTGCTAACGGAGGGCAGCCTGATGGAGCCTCTGCTGGGCAGAGCTGATGGGCAAAGCTTAATGGCTGGTGGGATTTCAGAATGTGAGGGAAAGGAAGAATTCTGCTTCATGGGGACCAGAGTCAGTGTGGGGCCTTTAAGTCTTGTGAAGTTAGGTTCTTCTGCTTTCTCAGTTGCTACACAAATGAGCGGCCAGCCTTTTTTCTTAGGCCCACTGAGAGACCCCTGCCCAGTGGGTCTGAATTGTACCTCGTTTAAGAGAATGGAGGAGGGAGGAGGCACCCGGGGTCTCCTCCACTCCTTAGGCAGCCCCTGCACACATCTGCCAGGGAGAGTACCATGAGGGGGGCCCTCTGCCCTGAGCACCATCACGGGGGCACCTCCAGACCTGGCTGAGAATAGCCTCTGCTTGGGCCTAGCAAGAAGGGCGGCAGTCCAAAGGAAACCTTGTTGGTGACTGTGTATGTGTATGAGCGTGTGCATTTCTTTAAGCTTTGTAAGGGCAGTTTCCTGGAGTAGGAGGGTAGATGACTGCTATCCTTGCTGTGAGGAAGAGGTTTTCCTTGTGAACAGGCCTCTTGGCTGTAGGGTGTGGGTTATTTGCTAGTTAGCCAACCTGCAATCCCTGGGCCAGGGCCGCCCTCTCCCAGGGTCTTCCAGGAGTCGTGAACGCTGCGGATGTCAGTGCAAGCATCTGACCAGCAGGGGGAGCCGGCAGGCTGGATGACGTTTAACCCACTTGGCCTCTGCTGCTTCTAAGCAATAAAGCTGAAAAGTAACCTTAGCTCTGCCTTGTGTTCCAGAAGCTGCAGGGATCACATGCTGGCTGTCCTGTAAGTTTAAGGCCTCCCTACCTTCCCCTTCTTTTTCAAGCCACAAGGGTAGCCTCCAGGGTCAGGCAGCCCCGAAGAGTACTTTTCTCCCATTTAAAAATCCCTCTTTTGTCACCCCAAGTCCAGTGTTGGCTGGAAATGAGCCGGAGGTCTACTGGCCGGGCAGCTGCTCTTGGAGCAAACAGGCCCACACTCCAGTTGTTGAGGGCATTATCTGAAAAGTCAGTGACCCCTGAGTGTGTACTGGCTCCCAGGCCTCCTCAGACTTGGCCCAGGTGTGCTCAGTGATCCTGGAGAGGAAGTGGGGCGGGGCTGCCATCAGCCCTGCATGGAAGAGGAGAGGAAGGTCCACTGACTGTCTGTGGGAGCCGGTGGAGGGTTTGCCGTTGCTGATCTTGATAGAATCCTACACCAATCTGTAGCTGATAACAGTTCCATGAGGAGAGAAATCGTAAGTCACGATTAATGTTTTTCTGCACTATAATCATATCTTGCCTCGTGTTTTGGATTATTTTCCCCATTGTGATCCTAAGCTCTTTAAAAACTTAAGGGAAAACACTTACCTAATTTACTAAAAGAGAAAGCTTTCCATTGAAAGGTCAACACTTTCAGGAGTAAAAAGACTTCTTTGAATGCCAGTAAACACCTCATTTATTTCGTGTATGCAGTTTGATTTGCACATGTATAAATGGAGATGCTTTTTTCATTTTTGCTTGGGCTGGATTTTTGTCACTGCTCATTTTAGTTTGCCTTTTTGTGTGTTCCCTGTGCGTTTGGAGATACTAGTCTGTTTATTTGGTGATATTTGTTTCCTTGATGTGCCTTTTCACTTTTCTTTGGGGTTTTTGGAATCTGGATGCTGTTGAAGGGCAATAGCAGACTCCTCCAGCTAAGAGACAGGACATGTCCCTGGGTCACTGTGGCTGTTCAAGCCGGACATCAGAAGCTCCCTGCACTCCCCCTGCCAGGCCATAGCATGTATGCATCCACCCCCAGAGGAGGGTGTGAAGCCTTGAGAAACTCAAGAAAAGGGTGGATTCTGCCATACCTTCTGGTCTACCTGGGGACTGCTGGTTGCCAGTGTGCCAAGTGACCTGTGTTCCCTGCCACCACGCACTTGCTGAGGTGTGGCTGAGGCAGAAGCATGCGGGCGGGTGCATCCAAGGAGTTCAAGGCCCTGCTTGGAGAAGAAACACTTGAACTAGTTAGCATCATGAAAGGGAAAGGATGTGCACCCCTTTTTTGTTTCCTTAGTGAATGCGAGATTTAATGAAGGTGAATAACGAGCTTCCCCTTTGGGAGTGGAGCCCAGTACAACTCACTGGCAGGGTCTGACGTGAGTGTGACATGTTGGACTGAATCTCTATGTCTCTAGGTAGGTGTGTGCTTTCTAGAGCAGACCAAGGTGGCCACCCCATTTCTCCAAGGTGGTTTACCTAGCATGTGTATATAATTAGACATTGCCACCCTCACCTCTGGCCAAAAATTGATTTAAAAAAAAATATTTTGTTAACGACAGGCTGTGTTGTATGTGTTACTATCCCAAGCCTGGATTATTTTATTTATTTAAAAGTATTTTAACTTCCCTATTGGCTTTATTCGAATCCCATCCGTCCCTGTGGGGCTGCAGGGCATCTTCATGTGAGTAGATGGATGGACAGAAATAGATTCACGTTCATTTAGGAAGCTGGGAGTTTGGTGAAGCCGAGGGTGAGTTCCTGTGATTCTTGTTGGCTTCAACAAAAAGTGGGAGACCAAGTTTTTATAGCAAAAGACCAAATTAGCTGTAGAGTTTCGAATGCAGAAAAAAATTACCCTAGCTTTCTTAGCATTTAGGGTTTTGTGAGGATTCCGTGTTTAGCACAGTGCTTGGCACATAGTAGGCCCTAGTAAATGTTGAGTATTGTCATTAGTGTTTCCTAAAACTTGAGAAATAAAGAGCTGAGCTCATTCCCTTCCTGTTGATTCAAAAATGATAGCTACATGAAAACATGATTCCAAGTTGATTGAAGGTTTTAGAATTACTGGTTTAGAGTATTCCTAGTTCTGGGCCTACCCTGCTGGTTGGCATTTTACTGTATTCTTGAATGTACTGGTTCGAAAATATGCCAGACTTCAGCCCCCAAGGAAACAAGGCTGCAAGAATTTATGAACTCCAGCTGGAAAGGGTAAAGGTGACCTTTGGCCAGCCACCTACTGAACCCTATCCCACTGATGTCTTTCAGAACATTCCAGGGGTTTTCTTCAAGGAACATTTTTGAGCTAGAAGTTGAAACGTGTTCTCTCACAGACTGCACCCCTTGAGTCAAAGTTAACAGTATTCCTTTGCAGTAATGGAGGCTTGTCTGCTTTAAGGGGGGAATGACCGACTGGTTGAACTTATACGTTCCCCAAGCAGGTCCTTTTGCTGCCCCCTACGGGCTGGGGTGGCCCCTCCTGTCCTCAGGGATCGGACTCCCAGGTTGGTTAGCTCTGCTGTTTCTATCAAATTAAACATTATTTCCTGGCCTGGTCCGCCAACCCCACCCTGCCAGATGGGGGCAATGGGGCAGGGATTTTGGCCTCTCAGAACAGCTCCTAGAGGCTGCTCACAGTTGAACGATGTTTTCCCGAACCACCTAAATATCAGTTTGCTTTTTGTTTTGGGAGGAGATTAGCCTTTTACTTCCCCGGTGGATGGAAAGTTTTATCTCCTTATCTCCTGCCCTGTCTTGGCATAACTCTGGATAGATTGCAGGTGTGGAATTTGCTGGAGTTTGGTGTCTTTTTCAAATTCCTTTGGATTCTCTTCAGCCAAATCAGCAGTCTCCTAGTCCTATGGATACAGTGATTGATTGGAATTTCCCGTCTGCAAAGCATCTCTCTAGCCCAGGTTTTGTGGAGCCTTAAGACACTCCCTCACTGCCACCCTGACCCCACAGCTGGGGAACCCTGTGCTTATGTGGTGGGTAGGGCCACTGTTGATGGAGCATGGTGGGGACGGGGTGGGTACTTAGGGGATCTGTGGTGCTGGAGGCCTAAACGCCTCTCGGGACAGCACACCAGGAACCTCGGAGCAGTCTCACGTCCGCCCAAGCTGAGAGGGAGCGAACTTGGGAAGCATTTTGCTCACTGTCCTGCCCAAGTATTTAATAGTGTAATAGTTGATGCCAAAGGAGATGGTAACGTCCCTTCTGTAGTCGCTGTCACAACCTTGACGTCTTTAAGCTAATGGCCGTTTGCATCTGTGTCTTCAAACAGATCCTGTTAGAGCCATTTTCTGTGGTTCACTTCTGGGGTGAAGTAATGCAGGATTCTGCAAACAAGGTGTCGCTGTCCAAACATACTGTACTGGCAAAGAGAGCACTGCTTTGTTTTCCACTGTTGTAGAGAAAACTAGGGAGAACTTTATTTTTCAATAAACTTTTCTTGTGTGACAGGTGGAAGTGATTTTGGGGGGCTGTGCATGCCGGGTCACCTCCAGAACAAGCTGAGCTGCTGTCCAGGTGCGTCCTCAACATACCTTCCCCCCGCTGCATTTCACCGTTTGCAGCACACTGCTGAAACTGCTGCTAGCAAGACACAAGACAGGAAGGTGTGTTTACGGAGCGGAGAGGGGAAGCTTTTACTGCTGTGTTTTCTTGCCCTTATAGCACGTCCACCACTACTCGTTTTAAAGCACTCTCCTTGCACTGCCTTCCCCTAGAAGGGAATTGAATTAGAAAGTGAACTGCAAGACTTTGAGAAAATCGTACACCGCACCAGTGATTTACTAATGAAAATCTTTCAGAATGAGCTAATGAAAATAGCCCTACAAGGGGCTGAGCACCAGCACCCAGTGGACCTGGCATAGATTTGTCCCTTTCAAGAGCAGCTTTAGAGCCAGGAAGCAGTGAGCCGGGAGCATTTGGTTAGGCAAGTGCCCGGAGACAGGAAGGATCTAGTCCTGACTGTGTCTGCAGGTGACACTGGCCCTCGTCTGCATGGCCTCTCTCAAGCTGGCAGGCCTCCTGGCTACTGACCAGAATGGAGACACAACACAGGTCACATTGCGTGTTTGTTGGAACACAAGTCCTGAAAAAGTTGTCAAGGGAAAGCCACGTGCCTGCGTTTGGGCAATGCCACCACAGTTGGTTGGTAGCTTCCCTCCCTGAGCTTCCATGCTGTGTATTAGACCCAACAAGAAAACCAGCAGAAGAGAAACCAACAGGATCCTACACTTCCCACACTTGCTTTAGTTTCATGTTACATGATAACATCCCTCGACATATTCCTCAGAGCACTGCTGGGGAAGCCCCTGTGAGCATGGTACTGGACCAAGGTTCCATGACCTCACAGAACAAACCCCCTTCCCTCCACCAGCCTGGAGGGGAGACAGGGCCCCAAAGCTGGAGCAAGGCCTGGGCGCAGCTGTCCCTCAGCTCCAGGCACCACGCACCAGCGCAGCCTCCAGCACCACGAGGTGAGTGTGCAGCCCCGACCTGAGTGATCAGAGGGGGTGGTCTGTGCCACAGTCCTTCAGGGGCTCCACGCTCAGGCCCCCTAGGCACAAGCTTCCCCTCCTACATCATCCTTCAGCCACAGTGAAAAACTTGCCCATGACGGGACGCCCCATGTGTTGGTGCCGCACAGTGACGACTCCCAAAGATTGTCTTCCCAAACCATACAAAACGGGTGAAGGTCTTTATTGGTCAGACACTACTGCCAGAGTGAGCAGTGGTGTGAGAGGTACAGAACGTTGTGGGTTGGGGAACACTGCTACGGAATCTAAACCTACCGTGACATCAGCTGAGAACGTCTTGTTCCTTACAGAGCAGCAAACCATCTCTCAGACTGTAATATACAATTACCACTTAACACAGCGTATAGATATATGCATATATGGATAGATTACAATTATTTATTACAAATAAACTGTAGTTTCACATCTCTCAAAAATGGATCCAGTTTTCACGTGGATGTTCAGGTTCTGAATGTACAAGAAAGGGTCGTGTGCTTATTGAATTCGTCCATGCAAAGCTTATACGTATATCACTAAGTACTTTAAAAAATAGAATGGTCTCCTTTTGAGCAAATCAGTTTAGATTTAGGATTAGTAAAATAGTATGAAACTAATGAGATACACTGATAGAAATTAGGAAGTGACATACTGATGGTTCTGGGTGTGTAAAGGGTGAGGGGTACAATCTTCCCTTAAGACCTGCCAGGAGAGGAGAGACCGGGAACCAGGAGGGGCAGGGTCACACAGGCTGGAGGCGGTGGGTCTGCTCAGTCCTATGCAGCGCAGGCTCAGACCACCACCAAAGGCCTTTCTGTCAAGCAAAGGTCTCATCCTACTCACGAGAACCATCATACTGCAGAGAATAGGAAACAGTCCCGGCTGGAGATGGGGAAGCGGGTCCCCTCCTAGGGGAGTTGTCCTAACATGTTTGATGGGGGCGGTGGGTGAAGGGGGCAAGGTAGATCCACCTGGCTGGGCAGACCTTGTCTTGTAACGACAGACCGTGTGAAAGAAAACTTCCAAAAAGAAACCAGATGTTCAGTTAAATATTGGCACCCTTTGCCTATGTGGAAACGTGTAACCTCGATGGCCTCATGCGGACGCTGGCCCCCTTCACTCAAACATCTCGTAGTGACGGGTCTGCCTCACCCTCGGCACCATGTCGATGAGGAGTCTGCAGAGACAAGATGGACAAAGTCACCTCCCCACCAGACCCTCCACCGCATGGGGCTGGGAGCTTTGGGGAAACATGTTTTCATTTTTTTTTTCCTAAGAGAATTCAGATACCACAAAATTCATCCTGTGTAACTCGGTAGTTTTTTGTATATTCATCAATTTGTGTCATCTCAAGAAGAAACCCCATGCCTGCTGTAGCATCCCACCCCATCCTCCCCACTCCTGATGACCAGCACCCTCCTCCTGGCCGCCGTGGGTTTGCCTATTCATATGTTATATAAACAGTCACACAACACGTTTCCTTTGGTGACTTCCTTCGTAACATTTCAACTCCATCCATGTTGTAGCGAGTATTAGCGCTTCGTTCCTTGTGGGGACTGAATAACAGTCCGCCGCATAGCTCCGCCACATTTATCCATTCGTCAGTTCAGGGACGGTTGGGCTGTTCTACATTTTGCCTATTATGAATAACCCTGCTGTTTATTTCACGGACAGCTGGCGCCCATGGTGACTCCACGTTTCACAATTTCAGGAGCTGCCACCCATCGTCCCTTCTCATCGCCATCGATGCGGGCTCCACTTCCTCACCCACACTTGCAGGTGGCCCTGTTTTTGATGATAGCCATCCTACCTTTCCTTGAGGGATGGAAGCATTTTAACATTTAAAAGCACAGCACCCTTTAGAAACAAATGGTTCTCTGAAAGGCCAGCTCCAGCCTGGGTGCTAAAGCCCATGTCGGTGACGCTGCACGGCCTTTCTGCACTGACTAGTCCCCTTTCACAGAAGTTCTCTAAGTCTAGGGATGCAGCCTCTGGCCTGCACACTGTCGCACCCCCCACGTGGGGCAGGAGGGGCTCCGCTTGCAAGGAAACCACATAAAGGTGCTTCCCTGGGGCGTCCTGAAGACAGAGGAAGGAGCATACGTGTCAGGACACGGGCTCCGAAAGGCATGAGACGGAAGGAAAGGAGTGCCTTTATGGCTTAAAGGCCTGAAGCCTCTTGTCCCTCCCTCACTTCTGTGCCAGCCACAAGAATATCTGACTTGTGCTGGGCGCTTTTCCAGTCACCTGACACTGGTCAGGCTCAGGAGGGGCACAGGGACAGAAGGTGACCTTCAGAAGCCTACTCTGTCATTTCCTGACGGAGGAAGGTGGTGGAAAAGTGGCGCTCCTGGCTGCCGGGAAAGCAGAGAGGAAAGCACAAGCACCTACTTGACCCCATAGGCAAATATGGTGAGGCCGATGAGAACACCGATGCTGCCGTCCAGGTACCAGACCGCCGAGTCGTGCTTGAACACTTCCGCACTCAGAAGAATGGAGAAGCCCATCACGCCACCCACAAGGGAGTTAAACCCTGCAAAGGAAGCAGAGAGAGGCTAGATGGCAGTGCCAGGCAATCCAAGAAAATTACCCAAATGCCAGCCCTGCCTCCACACACTAGAGCATGTGCCGGAAGGAACGGTGCCCAAAACCCTCACGAGTGACAGCCACCACCTGGGCCCATCAAGTCTCTGCCCAAATGTCACCAGACATCTCCCAGAATAGAGCCACCACCCCCACCATCATCCTGTACCTGCTTTATTTCTCTTCCGGGGACCGACGCCGTGTGTGGTTTATAGCCCGTCTCCCCCATGCTCGCTAGAACGCAAGCCTCCTAAAGGCAAGGATTTGGTTCTCTGTTGAGTCCACAGTGCCCAAGACAGCTGTGGGCTCACAGTAGGCATTCAGATTACCTGGGGACTCATATCTGAGTGTCTGCTGGGCCAGATTCTGAGTTGAGTGTTCGGGATGTGCAGTTACCTATAAATCTTCTCAATCCTATGACGACACATTATCGTCGTCATCCCTGTTTTTGCCAACGAGAAAACTAACAGTGAAGTTAAAAACATTGATGGAGGTTATCCGGGTTAAGAAGGGCTGGGATTCTACCCAAACCTACATCCCTTCCCTCCCAAGTCTCCTCTAAGTAACCTGAGGATTTTTCCTTTCCCTCCAGAAGAGAAATATAGTCAATTACGTTAAATTTTTCTGCAAAGTATTGGCTACATGGTTGGAGAAACGGCCATAAAAACAGAACTGGAGCTACTAGATACTGACCGCCATCTCCTTCACACAGCAGCCCACTGGGTCTCAAAGCTTACATGTAATACTACTTTACCTGAGCTGTCAAAAGGCCAAATGGGAAGGGAATGGCTTAGGGTGGCTTCTAGGGTCTCCCCATGAAGGGGACCCTCTGTCAGTGAACAGCAGCCAGACTCTGGCAGGAAAGCCCCCGTCACCGGCTCAGATCCCACCAGACCCCTCGCATCCAGCCACGCGACCCTGCGACAGCCACGCTGCCCTCGCCTCAGGGCCACTGGACTTGTCACCACTGCCCAGGGCCTCGCCACTGCAGGTCACCTCCCTCCCAGCCCTGTCTGCAGCCCCCAGTCCCTACACCTCCTCCTCTCTGCCTGATACCCTTCTGCCTCCAGCTAACATGCAGGCTTTGCCATTTTAACTGCCCCCCCTCCTCTCTCACTAGAAACCTAAGCTTAAGGACAGGAGCTTTTGTCATCTCCTTGCAGTATTCGAAGTCCCAGGACAGCACCTGGCATGCATCAGGGGTGCAAATGACCGCTGCATTAATGAGTGACCACACAGAGGAAGGAGGCAGGGGCCCGGCCTGAGCGCTGGGTCCTGGGAGGGAACCACCCCTGCCCGGCTCCCTCGGACATCAGTCACCTCAGGAGAAGGAAGCCCAAGCCAGCTGCTGCTTGGAA